CTTTACAAGTTAATAAGCTACATTACAATATACCACACTCTAAAATTTAAGACAATTTACATTCTGCACAATATTAAAAATAAATGCAACAGTTATGAATAGCTCTATTGCTGCTACCATAAGTAATAAACCCTTAAGCCCACCAGAACTGGCACCTCATCAGTATTCAGACTTACGTTTCGAAGCAGCGGTCAACGTTGTCGGACATGAGCAACAGCATGCAGAGCTGCTCCAGGGCGATGAGCTGCATATCCCTCTCATCACCCTGTCCCATCTGCAGCCACTCCAGCAATGTGTCTGGGTCCACGTCCGCCATGACACCCCACTACCCTATCCACCCAGTCACCCCGCCAGCAGCAGGACAGAAATGAACAGGGGCAGTCACTGGTCCTCTTGTTGTCTCATCAAGACTTCACCTTCATGAAAAAAGGAACAAAATTTAAGCATGGAAAAGGTATCTGAGATACAACAGGAGACAAAAACACCACACAAAACCCTTTGCAATGTTGCCCTGGGCCTTAACTTCCTACTTCTCCCATTTGATTGGTGTGAATCATTTGGCGCTGATCTGAAAACACAACCTTTAAATAACAGAATGAAAACTCTTGGGTAATAATGAAAAGGGTGGAGCAGATGACTCCTTGAAAATGTATGAACTTGAAAGGTATACTAATAGAGGAGTAAAACAGACTATAAACATGATGAACTGCCGCCTGTAATCAAAGCACTGAAAGAAATCGCTATGATTAGCTGATTAGTAAGCTTGGCCAACACCAGTTCGTATGATGAATAGTTCATCAATGAATCACACTGTATGGCCCAAACAGCCCAGCTTTTCAGAGACACACAGTAGGCAATACAAGCTGAGAAATCACTACGCTTTTATTGTTCTGAAAAACAAACCATTAAAGTAAAAGCAGCACTACTTTCCTGAGACAGACAAGCTGAGCCAAGCATGAGGATAAATTCATTAGAATGGGAGATTTATGTGAAATAGCAAAAGTCTGTTCTTCATTACCGCCTGGGTGGCTACAGACAGGCATGCCTCAGATAGATTCACCACCTTCTTAGAGACTAACAGAGAGATCCACTTATCAACAGATTAAGTGACTAACTTGATTCAGGAAGAATGTCCTGTTGAACTTGACATTCAAAGCAACTGTTGGATTTACTGGATGGAGAGGAGGAAAAAAACCACATTACATACACAGGAACAAGTCAAGTCAAGTCACCTTTATTTATATAGCGCTTTTAACAATACAGATTGTGTCAAAGCAACTGAACAGCGTTAATTAGGAAAATAGTGTCAATAATGCAAAATGACAATAGTAAACACTCATTTTTCAGTTAAAAACAGTTCATCATTGAATTCAGTGATGTCAACATTCAGCTCAGTTTAAATAGTATCTTTGCAATCAAGTCAACGATATCGCTGGAAATTAAGGAACACCATGTTACTTCGCTACTCTAAAACAAGTTTAAATATGTATGTCACCCGATTGTGATTAATCGGACCTAAATCAGATTAGACCACTATTTTCCATAGCAGACACACTCAGCATAACTTTTTAATTCATGAGCTGACGTATCCCAAGTTGCTCTTTCTGGTTTTGTAACCTGTTTTTAACAGTCACACTGGATCATTGTGAACCACACAATGGATTCAATATACTAGACTTCTGAAAACAAGTTCTGATGCCATAGCCCTGGGCTACACTCTGTCCTTGGAAATAAAACTCTTAAAAAAAAAAAAAGAGTTTACTATAATTATACTACCTTCAAATGAATGGGACCTGTTTATTTCAAGTCTATTAGCCCACCAATCCAGTAATGACAATTTTATCTTCATATTGATATTAAGATCTTAATGTTGTTTATTAACTTGACCCTATAAAGCATACTGTATCATATTCAATACATTAATTGCTAAGGCCTCTAATATATCAACATGATCAAAACTTTCCTTAAAAACACAATCTACATGCCTTCTGCCCTCTGATTGATAGTTCAAAGCCTTTTCGTGTAATTCTTAAATTAAAAATATAAACCTTCAGTTCAAGGTACACAGGTCTTTTGCTGTGTAATCTTTAATGATTTTTATAAAGCAAACATATGAGTATTTTTTTTGTTATTAATATATAAGAAAAACATTTACTGAACTGGAGCAACTTTCACTTTTACTTGATAACCCATACAGATTTTTTTTTAAGAAAACAATCATGTTAAAAGTGTACCAAATACAATACATCTAACTTTTGATCTCTCAATCATCCTTGTATTCCATTACATTTTAAGTTTTGCGGCCCAGAGTTAAAACTACAAAACTTCAATAATAAAACTAATCATTTCAAAATTATCATACTAAAATGTATTATTGGTAGACAGAGTAACAACTGATATTAATACACATTAATAGTCCTTAATTATACTGTTATAAAAATCTCAGAATTTCATCTTACCTTTTGGCCATATAAAAAGCATCAACTGCACAACATTGCATATATTTGGGCCTCTGGATAAAATTAACGTTTTTCCCCATTCTTTGAGTGTAGGCACTATATTCTCACTTATATCATACCACATGGGCCAAAGCTTGATGTATTAAACATGATACATGAAAACATAGAACATATGCAAAACTTTCCTTTATATTCTGTCTACAGGCTTAAAGTGTCCCATTTCATTTCATGGTACACAGGTCTTTTTGCTGTGTAATCTTTAATGATTTTTATAAAGCAAACATATGAGTATTTTTTTTGTTATTAATATATAAGAAAAACATTTATTGGACTGGAGCAACTTTCACTTTTACTTGATAACCCATACAGATTTTTTTTAAAGAAAACAATCATGTTAAAAGTGTACCAAATACAATACATCTAACTTTTGATCTCTCAATCATCCTTGTATTCCATTACATTTTAAGTTTTGCGGCCCAGAGTTAAAACTACAAAACTTCAATAATAAAACTAATCATTTCAAAATTATCATACTAAAATGTATTATTGGTAGACAGAGTAACAACTGATATTAATACACATTAATAGTCCTTAATTATACTGTTATAAAAATCTCAGAATTTCATCTTACCTTTTGGCCATATAAAAAGCATCAACTGCACAACATTGCATATATTTGGGCCTCTGGATAAAATTAACGTTTTTCCCCATTCTTTGAGTGTAGGCACTATATTCTCACTTATATCATACCACATGGGCCAAAGCTTGATGTATTAAACATGATACATGAAAACATAGAACATATGCAAAACTTTCCTTTATATTCTGTCTACAGGCTTAAAGTGTCCCATTTCATAAACAATGAGATTTGTCTGACCATTATTATATATGTCAGGTATTTTACAATGTTAACTAAAGCAATAAACTCATTCCAACCTAAACTGAATATAAGAGTAGGGAAGAAATGTAGGTAATTTCTAATACTAAACTAAGCTTCAGATTCGGTCTGCTGTTCTTACAGCATAGAGATAAATAAAAATTCAAATAATCAAAGTACCAACAAAGCAAGACATTCAGTTTATCCGTGGCTCTTGTATTCATGATATCTGAAGGACAAACATGATTCTAATGATGTTCTTTGACTTTCTGCCAGTGCAGCTGACTAAGGAGTCAAAAAACAAGTTGATTGCAACCGATGTCATCATGACACCAGGCTATACAGCAGCATAATAAACCCTCACCTTCACAGTGAACACAGACGGCACCTTTGAGCGTTAATAGTATAATAATACGATTCACGCATAGTGTGTTTGATCTATAATATCATGACGTGTGTTCAACTTCATGTATGGCCATCTAACATGATACTGAGAGCCGAGCAGGTGAACACAGTCCAGTTAACCCTGAAAATCTCTAACTATGAACAATATGATGTTATCAAACTGCATAACTGTGATTACACGTTAGAGGAGGAAAGTTAGGCGAAAACATTCGTTCAATCTGGTCCTGATGGCCTCTTTCTTGATTTCAGTTAGCTTACACGCCATGACATGAGTCCAAAACCGTTTAATTTCACGTTAAAGTCATATTTGACCTTATGTTTCCGCAGCAAATGAGTATAAACATAAATTATCTGTTGTGAAAGCGAGGTTCAGTTAGCTGGGATTAGCTAAAATGCGTCCTGTTAGCATCACTTCGACAGACTTGATTCATCCCAAACTTCATTTACTTAATTGGTATTGGGCATGAATACATTTTCCATCCATATATATATATATAACCGGTCTGAAAGCAATTTTAAGGTAAAAACACCAAGTAACACTAACGCGGCCTTGTGTTTACCAGTAAATCCGCGAGCTACAGTTGAATGGAAGCCCGAGGCCTGAACGCGTCTGTCGGGCAGAGAAACAAATCCTCTGCCGAGCGACACAAACACTCACCGTTTATCGCCGAACGACGAGAAGACAAGAAAAACACACAGGGTGGACAAAATTCGTCTCGGGATTAAGTTGTGTCAGACGGCAATATGTGAATATTGCTTCATTCCCCGCTTCTGCTTGTTGTAAGGTAGAGGTCAAAGTGAACTGGAAGGCGACGGGTGAAATATTGAGTGAAATGGAGAGCCGTGGAAAGGACTAGTCGAGGCTCCGCATATCACGAGGCTCCGCAGCAGCGCTTATGAACACGCAGCGATGCGGCTAAGCGACAGGGGGCGCTAAAACACCTCGCCATTTACAGTCAACGCAATAGTATCTGTCAACGAGGTCGCCAAAAAAATATTAAACCATTCACCTAGATAGCACGGAAAGTGAACGGTGACACATGCTCTCTGAAATCAAGCACTGTTTTAGTATGTTAACGTTCATATCGAAACTTTTTAAATGCACTATGCATTTTATCTATTGATCCTAGTAGACTGGATTTGGACATATCATGCACAGTGAGGAAAAAAAAACTGCAAATGTCCTTTCTAGGTTCCACTGTAAATTAAAACCAATGTGACTCTTGAAGCAAAACTAGATTTTATTCTTCCAGTAGAATCAGAAAATAATTGCATTTGTACAATTTACAACATACAAAATAACTGGTATGGTTATAAATGTATAATTGTGCTTAATCATTGCTGCTTCTAGCAGAAAAACAATGGTCCATTATTAGCTGAAACTCTTCCATTTGCATTGTAAACTTGTTAGTAGTGTGTTTATAGAAGTAAATATTAATTTGCTGCTTGTTCAATATTTTTGCTCATGTAGGATTCATCTATTACTTATATTGTCAGTGCAAGTGCAAGATAGTTATGTGTTGAAATAAAGTGACACCAACACATTTACATGCATAATTAGAATACAGAAAAAAAACGAAAAAGTGTAAAATATGTTTGTAACTAAAGTTAAGTACAATTTTAACATACGGAAGCCAATTTCTGTCACATAAGAAAAAAAATCATGAGATAAAAATCATAATTATGATAAAAATTCAAAACTATTACGTCGATATTGACAGTCAAAACTGACATTCCAAGTATCTATGATGAGTCAAAATTGACATGAACCGTTAAATTATGTGCTAGTCAAAATTATGAGAAGTCGATTATTTATTATCTCAGTTTTAATTCAGTATGTCACAATTTTGACTTCTTGTCTTAATTATAATTTACCAAACCATGATTTTATTCTTATATGGCAGGAATGGGCTTCCATATGAATGCATACTGCAGGTGTATTCAAAGCATCAGTGCAGTGATGTGATGCAAGTATCTACTTTATCATTAATACACATTCACAACACGTGCAACTATCTCTACGCAACTTAAAATATTGAACACATATTAAAATGCACTAAAACTGTATATGTAAAGTCAGCAGATACCTGATTACCAGCAGTGCAGCTGGTCGGGTTTAGTTGTGAGCTGCAGCATATCAATGTGAAATTAATGATTTGCAATCTTTGTACAGACACAATAAAATTCACAAAAAAAATGTATGCTACGACAATTTTTTTTTTATAAATGGTAACCATATAAAATTCACTCCCATGGTTCAGCTGTTCTTCATGTGAAACACACTTCCCCTTACTATCTGAGTAAATATGTATTAAGTTCCTCATAGAGGTTAATGCAGTTTTAAAACTGACTACAATATTTAAACACAAATTTTAAATTGATTTATCTTTAAAAACAAAACTGATTAAAACAACACCTCAACATTCACTCAGTCATTCAAATCCTAATACGCGTATCATATCCAGTCAATAGGATTCACAGGAAATTGATCTTCAGTTGAATGCTGGGAGTGTTTTTGCTAATGACTCGAGGTGCTTGTGCCTTAGTGTTCACGCTCTCCTGGTTGCCCTTGACGGCTGCCTCCAGCCTGGCTTTCATGTGCGGGGCGGAGGCCATCAGCGCTTTGAAGACAGCCGAGTGCTGGGGGCCAATGCGCATGAGGTCTCTTAAGGCGGACTCGTGCAGTGAGCGAGAGGCTGCTGGAGCCGATGCCAAAGCATTCTCATCCAGCAGGAGAGAGATGAGGATGGGCAACAGCACAGCCACCAGCTGTGGACCTGCATGGTTAAAACACATACTTAGTGCTAAACAACAATGCAACATTTTGCTAACAGTAATTATAAAGAAGACATTTATAACCCAATTAATACTTCTTGTTTTTTTTAATGATATCATAACTGACAACTGTTTGGGACTAAAACCTGAAAACATTTCCAGTCACTTACGGTGAGTTTCGTCTGCAGCAAACACTAGTGCTTCCAGGGCTCGGATTGCATCTTGCACGGCCTGTAGCTCTGCTGGGCCTTGAGGACGACTCTTTTCCACTTCCTCCAGTTGTGACACCAGACGGCCACCCAGAGCTAGAATAAATGGCCTGGCTACCACCGCTGGGCCTTGGAATAAAGATACTAGCAACTGATAACTTCTGCTCAGAACCTAAATGAGAAATTTTAGGACATAGTAGAGAAGAATACTAAATATAGAGTTTTTTGGGGAATTGTATGTAAAATTGTAGCAAAGCTCCTTATTTAAGCAGCCCGATGTCAAAGATTGGGGTTGGTAGGATTTTTTAAATGTTTTTAAAAGAAGTCTCTTCTGCTCACCAAGGCTACTTCTATTTGTTCAAAAATACAGTAAAACAGTAATACTATGAAATATTATTTCAATTTAAAAGAACTGTTTTCAATTTAAATCATTTTTTAATTAATTTATTCCTGTGATGGCAAAGTTGAGTTTTCAGCAGCCATTACTCCAGTCATCAGTGTCACATGACCCTTCAAAAATCATTAGAATATGATGTTCTGGTGCTCAAGAAACATTCATTATCAATGTTGAAAACAGTTGTGCTGCTTAATATTTTTTCTTTTTTTCTTTGATGAATAGAAAGTTCAAAATATCAGCATTTACTTGAAATATTTTGTAACAATGTAAAAGTCACAGCAGTCACTTTTGATTCATTTAATGTGCCTGTGCTGAATAAAATTAATTTCTTTCATTTAAAAAAATTAAAATAAAATAAAATAAAAGCTGACCCTAAGCTTTTGAACAGTACTGTAGAAATGTTGTTAAGAATTTCAAATTGACTCTCTACTCACCACAGGGTCCTTAGACTCCAGACTGTCTCTGAATGCCTGGATGCAGCGTGTCTGCAGGGGCTCCACAGTGGTCACCTCAGCACTGGCGTACAGCAGGAAGATGGTGAGGGATGTCAACGTGGTAACCTCATCCACTCCAGGCTCCATTTTATCTGTTCAAAACAATCCATGAAAACCACAGAAGGTTCCTCAAATGACTTCTACAACACACAGAAAAACACACAAACAGAGTGTGGTTGAAATGAGAGAGAACTACCTGAATGCCAAGACTCCAAGAGCGTGTGCATTGCACATCTCAGCAGTTCAGTCCAGGCCCCACGACTCTTCTCAGCTCTGCTCATGGGAGAGGTGAGAACAGTGCGCAAGGCCTGCAGGATGCCTGGTACCAGCTGTTCACTTTCAGCTCCAACAGAGCCCTTCACCGCCTCTCTCAACACCCCGAGCAGCAGATAGAGCACTGTGGGCAGTACTGAAACACTGCCTGTGGAGAGAAGAATAAAACACTGTCAGATCTCTGATCATTTATGGATTCAATTTAATTTTAAAAGAGACATTTCATATTAAAAGTATTACAAAATTTTCGATAGATTGCAAAAAAAAATCCTAAACTGAATAAACAAAATGAAAAGTGGACTAAAATAAAGTGGGCAGGAGGATGTTTTTCTCATAATCTGAAAGCTCTTATTGCCGCAGTAACGCTCTGCATCTCTTACCCTCTGGTGAACAGATGGAGGGCAGTTCTGAGAGGATGGCCAGAGCAGATGTGACGAGTCTACAGTCAGTGTTGCTGAGGAAGCAGGTCTGTCCTCCCCACCCCGTGGGGCTGCCAGCCAGTTTGGGGCTGAGTTGCGGAAGCTTTCTCAAAAGCGTGCAGAGACATAGCTCCAGCGCTCCAAAAACAAGCGACTTCCCTGGCACCAGGCCACCAGTGTCCCGTCCCTCACCAAACTCAGGAACAGTTTCCTTCTCTGCTGCACCATCATCGACTGACCAAATACAACAAAGAAAGATGAATTTAGAGGGTTATTTAAGCTTCACACTATTTAAACAAAATGAGTTTTTGAGACTTACCCTCAGCACTGTGGCGTTTCTCTTTGACATGCTCCTGAGCAGCACAAACAATCTGCCGCACCAGTTCTAGCACAGCCAGTTGAACGCTGGGAGATTCCCGAGTGACTATGAGCCTGTGTAGAACACTGAGCAGCTCCACACGCAAAGCCTACAGAGAGAACACCATACACTTTTCAAGAACACAGAGGGACTAGCAAGAAAGACAAACACATAGTAGAACACATGAACTACATGGAAAGACAAATACCAAACCACAAATCTCAATGCATCACAATATCATAATAGACCAAGTTACAATATCATAATAGACCATAATAGTCAGGTTAGACGACATATTGAATTTAGTGAGGATGAAAACGAGGCTGTGAGGAACACACTTAAAACTATAACGGCACGCACCACATAACGGTCCTAGATCAAATAATTTTCACAACTTTCAAAACTACTGAGATTTTTTATTTTGAAAAAAAAAACAAAAAGCATTTAGTCAGCAGAACAATCGGTTAAGTTCAAAAGAACAGCATGTATTTGAAATAGAAGGCTTTTTTAACCTGGTAAATGTCTTTACTGTCACTTCTGATCTGTTTTAATTGTAGAATACCTGATCACTGCCCACTTTCGAACGGGTCCAAGGCACCTCCAACAAGGCCTGCAGAGCCTGAAGACAAGAACTGATGTTTTCCATTTGGTCTCCAGAGTGAGGAGAGCACAAAAATTCCACACTGATTCCTAAAGGGAAAATTTGAGTGAACTGAACAAGACGACTCAAAATATACATGTTAATCTCAAATCTAAGTAAAATCCTAAAATATCTCAAGTATTTACTGTATGATCCTCATAATCAGCCCATGGAAAATGACTAAAGCAAAATTCAGTTCTCTGAAGGACTTCAATCTAGCAATGGACACCCTATAAACCTTGAACTACATCCACTTATTGAAACAGGAAATATTAACTGAACTCTGTACCCAGGATCAGGTGGAGGCGGTCAGTGTTGACGTCCTCTGGGGATTTGACACTGCTCAGTGAGGTGGACTGGCCCATGGAGGTGGGTGTAACCGGTCTGGAGAGGTTGGCAGGTCCCTCGTCCACCATGATGAATCCGGTGCTGTTGAGCCAGAGAGCAGTAGCGTGGAGAATGGTAGCCCAGGCACTGTAATAATGTGGACGGGCCTGTTCCACCATCTCTGCAGTGTAAAATGAGCCACCTGACAAATAAAGGTGCATGTTAGAACATACTAACAGGAGGTATGAGTATTAAAGGAGGTAGAGCTTTTTCGCATTTGGCTCCCAAACTCTGGAATAGCCTTCCAGATACCGTTCGGGGTTCAGACACACTCTCTCTGTTTAAATCTAGATTAAAGACACATCTCTTTGGCCAAGCATTCAAATAATGCATCTCATAATCTTTTACTGCAGTCATAATCTTTTACTGCAGTTATATCTAATCAAATGCACATTATTATTCGTTAGTTTGGGTTAAACAAATAATTTTTGCTTGGTTGGTTTTTTGACGCGATCGACCCGGGTTCGAATCTGCCTTTTGCCAAACTTTTTATCCTCCCTTTTCAAATCTCATATCACATCGGAAAGGCATTTATTTTTGCTGCCATTTTGAAAAACATTAAAAATCTCACCAATCCCAGACTTTTGAACAGTAGTGTACATACTGTAAAAATGGTGCAAACAAGTAATTGTGACAGAAAAAAGGCTAAAACACCTTTATCTATCCCCTTCTGCAATTATAAGCAAACTATCTTGCAACTGATTTCCTCACAAATAAGAACACTAAGGCTGACAAAGGAACAATGGTATGAGTTTGGGACAGGACTATCTGCTTGGCTGAGTCATGGCCGAAAGAGTGAGTGTTTGGAAAAACTGTTTGCAAATAGTAATTTTTTTATATATCTATTTGGTTGCACTAGAGGCACATAAACTAGACAGTTAATTTTCATAACCCTGGAAGTAAAGAAGCATATCTACTTATTTTCCATCAGCTAGGTGTGTAATCTGAGAAACCGAGCGCGAGTGGTCACCTGTGGAGGGTAGTTGACTGGAGTATTGCGAGGGCAGGGTGAGCAGGGCATGGTCCTGAAGGGCAGCCAGCCACAGGCGACTCAGAGTTGCAAGATCAGTCTGAACCAGTTTGAGCAAACCAGCCCCTGCTGGATCTGCAGTGCCAGCCTCATCACTCTGCTGCTGGAGATTGCTGCCTGGACTCTCCCTCTGCCTGGAGCCTTGTACCGCTGTGATATACACCTGCAGAGACACATAGATTTACTCAGACAAATGTTAGATCAAAGTTTGCTGCAAGATATACCACAGATATTCCATGGTATAAAAAGTGTGGCCATCATACTTTATATACCGTCATACTGCCCATCCCTAGAGTTATATAACGGCTAAACGTAGAGGTACAGCTGATTTAATAGTTGTGTGATGGTGTTCGGTACCTCTGCCCAGGCTTTGAGCACAGCCAGCGTCTCCATGGTGAAGGTGCTTTCATTATAGAGCTGACTGTTGACGTCTCTTCCCACCTGCACTTTGGCAAGAGAGGAAGCCAGAAGCTGATGCACCCTTCTCAGGTCACGCAGGTCACTGATGACCCCACTGGCGATCCATGCACTGCAAACCTGAACGCCAAAACAAAGGTTCATGTCTCTCAACACTACTGAAGCAGCTTTCAGCAGTACAAGTGAACCACTAGACTCTGGGAAGAAACTAGGTCAAGTGAACCCACGTGAACTTGAGGTATTTGAAAACAAGCATGAAGCGAGTTCAAGAGGTTAAAAACAGGATTGATTTGAGAACTAATGCTACAAAAAGAACATATTTGGGATGCCCAATCTGACAGTGACAAAATACGTAACTTAAGACTTGAAACAACATGTTAGATAACATGGTGTTTGCTGGTAAACGCAAAGAACAGAAAAAGTGCATCGTTATAGATAATGAGGCTTAAGTTCTTTAAACAGCACACCTGGCAGGCTTTGGCAGTCACATTCGGAGGGGCGTCCACATGGAAGGCAGGTCTGAGCGCAGCTCCAACCTACAACATCAAACAACATTTAGTTCATTTAAACCAGCCCAGTCAAAAGTTTGAGAGGTTTCTCATAGCCTTACATAAGTTGTAAGGACAAATAGACAAATATTTAGACAAGAGAGTGAATAAGAGTCAACCAGCACCCATAGTGTATCTCCTTCAATACTGTTCCAAGGAAGCATCTCATAATGGTGGCTGGGAGAATGCCAACATAAAATATAGCTTTGATGCTGCATAATTCCCATACCTTCATTTGTGCTGTTTCATAGTTTTGATATTAATTTGAATTGTAGAAAATAAAAATAAAGTGTTCAGAACTTTTACTTAAATGTATACATTCATTAAATGAAACGAGGCAAATTTATAAAAAAAAAATATGATTCACACTCTGTTCGCACACACCATCAATCAAAGGTTTTGGGTCATTAAAAAAAAAAAAGAATTTATCACTTTTATTCAGCAAAGACACATTACTTCAAAAGTGACAGTAAATACTTTTCAAATCAATTTCAAGTATATGCTGTTCTTTTTGAAATCACGGTTTCCACAAAAAGCGCCTGTCATTTTGTATATCACATTATCAACATCAACACTAAGAATAAATGTTTCTTGAGTATCAAATCAGCAAATTAGAATGATTTCTGAAAGATCATGTGACACTGAAGACTGAAGCAATGACTGCTGAAAATTCAGATTAGCAATCGCAGGTATACATTACATAAAAAAAAACAGTTCTTTCTGTGTTTACTGCATTTTTTATCTAATAAATGCAGCCTTGGTGAGCAAAAAAGATCTTTCAAAAACATCTTACCGACCCTAAACATCACTGTACTTTTTACTGTCTAGTCTTTTTATATACTATACAGGATTGACGGCCTACAACCAAACTCAACTGAGTAAGTTTATTAAGTGCAAATTAAGCGAGTAAAACATTCTAGGACATGAAACTGAAGATGTTTCAAGTCACTATTTGAAAAGAAGGCCCCCGCTAAGCCCACAGATAACCTAATTTAGTGTAAGTGATACAGGTTCTCACATGCGTGCACACACACTTAGTAACAAGAGACTGATGAACAAGCTCAGGTACGGGGGGGGGGGGGTCTAAGAAAAAGAGCTGAGAGCTTTG